TTCTCCACATCAGCAACCACCGCGTATTCATACCCACGAAATCGAATTAAAGCGGTTATTAAGTCAGGTTGTATGGTTGGACCAACCATTTGAATATCGTTAAATGAAACCCCAGATGTTGTAGAACAAGACGCATCAAAAACAACTCTTAATTTTGTGGTGGAACTATCCTCTTTTATGACTCCATGATGCGGCATGTAATACTGAATTTGAGTGCATGAATTATTTTTTGAAACCTTTGACATATGACCCATTGCGATGTATTCGTTTATAAATTTAACATATTCGTGTTTAAATGTTTCGTTTCGTTGAAATTTGCGTTCTAAATTTAAAAACCGACGATGTGCAATGTCAAACGAATCTCCTAACTCACTTTGATCGAGCTTTAATGGAATTTTTACTACGAAACGCCCTTCTTCATTACGAAAGGTCGTAGCTACAAAATATAATTCACAACGTTGTTCCTCGCGCGACAACGGCCTTACCTTTGGGATTTCCTCTAATTCCCAAAACCTAGTAAACTGTTTTTCCAGTTCAACTCCTTTCGAAAAGTTGCAACGAACGATTTTCGCTGACTCGTGCGGTATTGGGCCTGAGACTACCCACCCGAATTTAGTTTCCACGAGTGCTGGACCTTTTTTGTTTAATTTAACCTGATTTCCAATAAAAATATCCCACGCATGATCACAACCAATAAGAATGTCTATCCTATTTGGAACGTCAAATTGATCATCAGCAAGACAAATATTATTCGGTAATTTTAAATTATCGATATTAACCTTAATTGCCGGCAAATCACTTGTTATTTGCGGCACTACATAACATGAAATTTGACGTTGAAAAATATTATCTCGCGATGTGATATTAATAGAAGTTATTGCCTTGATGGTAGAAACTACGTCACCAATGCCTGCAATCTTAATATGAACTTGCGACTTTACAGCGTTCAATTTATCTGCGAGTGATTCAGTTATGAAACTGGACTCAGAACCACTATCAATAAGTATACGAGCCAACCTTGATTGACCTGTAGGACCTTTTGCAAACACTTGTGCTGTCGACAAAAGAACCACAGAATTATTGACAATTTTTGATGTACAACTGTTAACTGTTAAATCATTTTTTGTACTTGAAGATGCGTTTGTTTCAATTATCTCCTGTTTAAATATGTGTAAAATAGAATTATGTTTACCATTGCAATGCTTACACGAACGGGCCTTGCAATCCTTCACAAAATGTCCACTGCGCAGACAATTCAAACACACCTTACACCTCTTAGCTTCGATAAGTTTTTCATTCACGTTAAGTTTAGTAAAATTTGGACAATTATAGAAGAAATGATCAAGTTTGCAACTGGGACAAACTGTTTTCGACATAACAAATGCCTTTGACCTTGGCTCACAACGATTAAATTTATTTGGCTTATGAGCTTTATCGGTTTCAATAGATTCTAAAATGTCCGCTCGATTTCGAAGAAAATCAAATAAGTCAGATAAATTAATCTTATTGTCTGTATTTTTGAACTGTTCCCATTCACGAAGTGTGATCTCATCGAGTCTCGTTGTGACCAAATAAATCACCAAAGTATCCCACGAATCCGTAGCTTCACCCAATACTTCTAAAGCCCTTAAATGCTTAGAAACGTCATCAATCATTTTTCTCAACAATTTTGCTGATTCAACGTGAATTTTGTCTAAATTAAATAATGATTTAACGTGACTTTGAATAAGAATCCTCGAATTGTTAAACCTATCTGAAATTAAATCCCAAGCTACAAAATAATTCGCCTGTGAAAATTCTAGATTGCTGATTACTTGAGCCGCACTACCCTTAAGAGACGAGCGAAGGTATTGGTACTTTTGAATAATTGGTACCGCTGGATTTTTGTGTATAACAGAGTTAAAAACATCTCTAAACTCGAGCCAATTATTGACATCACCATCAAAATGTGGTAGTTCCATTGTAGGAAGCTTGACGTTTGGCAAAGTATACGTATTGTTTGCATTTGTCAACGGTACATCGAGAACCGGCAACTGTTCAATTTGTTTATTTATTGTCAGTAGATTTTTCGCTCGAGCACTAACCTCGAAAAATCCCTTTTCAAAATCTTCTCTTTGTTTTAATTGCACGTTTAATTCAGATTCATCTACGATCGCGTTTTCTATTTTAACCTGAATCTCTTCAAAATTATTGATAATTAACTGAAATCGAGATAAACGTTGCTCAATTTCTTCCAAAATAACCGAATCGTCTAATTTACCCATGGGGTATTTTGTATATAAATCGTTTAAAAAATTGTTGAAAATTGTTATCTTACTTTTTAGCACTACACGTGCCTTTGTATTCGAATCCATAATAACGAGACTTGTGACCGAGTGTCACCAAAAAACAAATAAATAAATCGAAAATACACTTATCGTAAGGAATGAGTAGTGACAAGAACTCTTGTTGTGGCTGGACTGCTACTTGGAGGGGCTCCGAGTGAGGCTTCCGACGCTTGGCTGTGTCCGCAACACGATGAGTGGCTCCGATTGAACCTGTCCCGACAAATTCGGGATAACCTTCACTTTCGCTGAAACTGTGACCAGGAAGGGCTCCTAGTGAGGCTTCCAACGCTGGCTTTAGTCATCAAAAAATAACTTCTGGTTACCAAAATGGCTGCTTCTTCGTTGATTTTTTAGATTAGTTTTTTCCAATTCCGCACATCCCATCCGTAGTTCGAAGGACCATGTTTTAATTGTAAGGGTTCGTTTATGGGAAGAATTAATTGCTCCTTGGTTAAACTTTTCTTACTATTTATTTTAAATATGTTACAAACGCCATTTTTACAACAATAATGAATTTATGCTTTATGTCAGCACAAGAACTTAAACTACTGTCAACATTAACAATAATACTGAACAGTGTCCCCGGATCCGATTTCGGATAGGAAAAAGTTTTTTAGACCTGATACAGCTAAACCGAGCACGGATTTGGAATCTACGACCAAAAATTATGTTAACGTGTCCGAGCGTTTACCTGTGATATTTCAAAAGTTGAAAATTTACCTATAGTGTTATTGATAATCTCAAATTTGACTTTTGTGTTAAAAGTCACAGTGTATACTAGACGTTTCGTTTTTATGGTTCCCATGGTAACTAAGCGAGCGTTTGGGTTACGAGCGACAAAGTAAAGAAACGCTTGCTCCTCGGAAAAGTGCAACTTTGCTTTCTTTAAAAATGTTTGGTAATTATTAATAATTATTAATAATTAAAAATTTTACTTTGGTGTCCAAAGTCGCAGTGAAGATAGGGCACATATAAATATCCAGGTAAGTTTATGATACCCAGAGGCGTAGCCACTCTTTCGCCTTCTTCTATAAGATCAAAGTTGCTGAGGTTTTAACGAACGTTTTTACTTGTTTATTAGATATTTAAATTATAATATTAACCAACTTCTATTAAGTAAAAAATATTATAAAAAGCTAAAGAACTAAGGCTCTTCTCTAAACTTGTTGCACATTGTTATTAGGAATATTATAGATAAATACAGGTAAGCGTAGGTAAAACCTCATTAAAGGGGAATCGTGACTCGTGTCAGATAATAAGAAATGATTTTTTTTAAATATAAAATTAATCATACCAAGTTCGCTTAAATGAAATGTTCTTTACATTTATGTCTGGGTAAGTAACACAATAACAATAAGTTGAGAGTATAAGGAAAGTTTAGTAATGCGCTTATAAAATTTTTCTTTTCGTTATTTGGTTAAACGCGACAAGTTTGATTTTCACAGCCGGTTAAATTTATTCCCGATTTTCAAAGTACAGAAGTTAAATTATATTTAAATTTTAAAGACTATTACAAAAACAAGCTTGAACTAAAAGATAAGAATTTTGAAGTGTTTAACTTCCCAAGCGAAATTAACAAATTTATGCAAATTTTTTAATTTGACTGATAAAAACATTTAGATTCTTTTGATTGAAATTACCTTTTTTGCGAAAGTCCTAAATTTGTTGCCTTTAGTAAACCACGTTTATGTACAGAAATGTTTGGAAAATTTCAGCACTGTACACTGAACAGGCAATTAGCCACGAATATTTTATAAACTTTTTTATAGTTTTTTATACCTATACAGGGGCCGGGAAATAGAAATATTTTTGCGCATTTCTTTGCCCAACCTAACCAACCAAAATTAGCGTTGGGTTGGTTAATCAAACAATCAACTACCCAACCCAACGCTAATCCGAAGTTTGTTGTCTTTAATGAACTATGTACAGCGTTGGTTGGTCAATGTCATGACATCAACCCAACCAATCATCATTAACTTGATGATATATAACCTAATTTTATTGTTCAAAACAAACTTTGCTTGTACAGAGCTGACCAAGGCTGTACATAACTCATCAAAGGCAACAAACTTCGGACTGCCAACTGGCAACTGCCAATATTATATTTTTAGAAAATTAGTAGAATTAAATTAAATTAAAATAATTACAAAAAATCTGCTGCAGGGTAGACAACAACTAGGAAAATGTGGACACCCTGAACAAAAATGGCCATGTTTTACCCAAATTAGGAAATTTTTGTCTGATTTTAATGAAATATACTGTACCATTTTCTATACACTTTATAGTGTTAAAATTTTATTGAAATCAAATAAAAATTAAAAAATATTACCATAATCTACCAGGCGTGTTAAAATTGGTATGAATTTATGAATTACCTGTTACAAGATATTTTTATTTATTTTTTTAGAAATAATTTTTTTTATTTGTCAAGTGTGTAACTTTTAAAAGATATAAAATCCTCATCAAAATCCCCAATATTAACTATTAAAGTATACCTCCTTAAAATTAATAGGTAATTAAAGTTGTTTACACATGTCTGGGAAACAGGTAAGATTTCCTAAATAAACATACCTAAATAAGGTTATATACCAAATTTTACCATGCAACAATTAAATGATTTTGAGATTTCATTTGTGTTCTTAAAAAAAATAATATGAGTTTTAAAAACTTTAGAGAGAAAAAATTCTTTATTCCATGTGCTGTTATGGACTACCTCACGGAGCAATTCATTTTTACTCTACCAGAAAACAATCGAAAAAACATAAACAAAGTGTGCGATCAAGTGGAGTTGGCCCATTGGCATTATTTGGACGAATGCGTTGCCAAAAACTCAAGACTAAAAACGTGTAGATTTTTTGATTTTGCTTTACAAATATTTAATCATGTACACTTTTTACAAGAAGTTAGAAAAGATCTTCATGCCATCCTTAAAGCATGGATCAAATCCAGGATGAGTATTCCTACGTATGGTGGAATTATTCTTTCAAGGTCAAGAAGTCATGTCCTTTTGGTGCAGAGTTATTGGAGAAAGACTTGGAGTTTTCCTAGGGGTAAAGTTTTAGATGGTGAAGATCCTGTTAAAGGAGCCACAAGGGAGATATTTGAAGAAACAGGTTTTAATGCATCTTCATACATTTTTAAGGATAAATACTGTGAATTAATAAAAGAAGACAATGTTCTTAGACTTTATTACATCGATAACGTTCCGTTTAATACTAAGTTTAGGCCTGGGAACAAATTTGAAGTTTGTAACTGCAGGTGGTTTAAGATTAATGATATTCCTAGGCACGAAGAAGATTTTGAGGCGGGAAACAGGATAGGGTTTCGTCCTGAGACATTTAAAATGGTATTTCCATTTGTTGAAAAGTTAAAGCAACTTTCAAAATGGCGTTAATGTTATCTAGAAGAATTTAAAACAGGTAAGTTAATTTAAACCTAAGAGAAATTGGGATTACAAGACGTTGTATGAAGAAAAGTTACTTTGTTCAGATGAATGGTATTAAGAATGTTTGTTAAAATAAATGTATACAATTATTAATTATTAGTTTTATTTCGTTAAAATATTATATATATTAGGGTGTCCCGAAAAAAAAGAATATTTTTTTCTTCTCGTCTCTTGTGAAAATATGTTGGTTTGTCATATTTTAAGAGCCCTGTCAAAAGATCAGCACTATTAAAAAATTTTTAGGGGTCGCTCAAGATTTTTAAAAATTACCAAAATCGTCAAAAATTGGATTTTTTTTTATTTTAATTTTTTTTCTCTTTCCGATATTATTTTTTAATTTAAAAATAATAATGATTCTGAAAATTTCAAATCGATATTTTAATTTCTAAAGGTCGCTCAAGATTTTTTTAACTTTCAAAGTAGAGTATTTTGAATGTTTTCGAGCGAACTCTGAATATAAATATCAACGAACTTTTAGCGACCTTTAGAAATCAAAATATTAATTTGAAATTTACAGAATTTTTATTATTTTCAACCTAAAAAATAATATCGAGACGAGAAAAAGAATTAAAATAAAACAAAAATTCAATTTTTGACCATTTTGAAAATTTTTAAAAATCTTGAGCGACCCCTACAAAATTTTTAATCGAGCTGATATTTTAAAAGGGCTCTCACAGCATGATAAACTAACATATTTTTACAAGAGACAAGAAAAAAAAATATATTCTTTTTTTTTGGGACACCCTAATATATATATATATATATATATACAGGTATACAATGTAGTCCAATACAGGTGAAATCACTATACCGGTTCCCCGAAGTCTTAATCGAACCATTAAATAACTCAAATGGTGCATCTCCTAACAAGTGAAAAGGGAATAAAAACTATACGGAAAAAGAAGTGATTAAGTGCAAAAACCGACAAATCTTTTCAACCCTAAGGGCGGTTATCTACGCGTAAGCATATCTACCTCTAGAAAAAAACAATACAAAGAGCACTAGAAAAATGAGTACTAAGACAATAGCAACAAAATGTAAAAAAATATGAACAAGGCGTCCCTATTTTGTACTGCTGTCAATTACTGAGAACAGCAGATTAGTGTAAATAAACCAATTAAGTAAAAACGTCAAAAAGCCTAAACATAAACTTAAGATATCAGAACCAAAAAAATAAGGTTTTTAAACCTAACAAAACTAAAATATATAATTGGCATTTAAGAAATAGCCTATACACCGAAAAGTCAATATACCCGTATAAAGGATTACGCACAGTGGGGTAAAATAATTTGTGTATATCTGGTACTAAATTTAGCTAGTAAAAACGACTGTCTAAACAGCTGCATATTATGCCCGACGTGGACGAAAATACTCTGGTACCAAAGACAATTTAAGGATTTCGCACAGTTGGGCAATAATTTGTGAAGAGCTGCTTAAACTTTTCCTTCAGACCGGTAAAGAACGTCTGGATAAACCTTCTATGAAGTCGGTACTAACAACGAAGGACAATGTAGACAACGACTAGCTTAGAAAAATAAGGACTGGCTCATATGACTGAATCTTCTCTGAAGTCAGCACTTGGAATGAGAAATTGAGTATTCCTTAAAGTAAGCTTCATGTTGAGACAACCCGATGTGGATGGCAATACTGAAGGCAAGAAACGGTTTTCTCACAGTAAGGCGATTGATTTGTGTATAGCGGTTTCCGAATTTTCATTATAGTAGTATTCAGCAGAGTCATGGACATAAACGAAGAAAATGAAAATTTCGACAAACGCTATTTGCGAAAATAAGTTATTTTTTTCAATGTGCTCATCTAACCTGCTTGCTATGCATTTTTTTAAAATATTTGCGAATACAGTTTTGACAGATATTGGCCTGTAGTTTGGTGGATTAGACTTGATGCCATTTTTAAATATTGGTATAATTATTGCCCGTTTGAGTCTGTCTGGAAATGTTATATTAAATGCTATATTTATGTTATTTTAAGGGAGTTTTTGTTTATTTTGTCTGTTGCAGGTGCTGTATTATTTTTTAATTTTATTATTATTTTTTAAATTTCTTCTGTACTAACCGTCTTTTCTAAAAGTGATATGTTACGACACACGTTTGTTTCCAGGATATGTCTATACTAGTGGCGCAGGAACGGTTTTAAGTTGGGGGGTGGCGCAACCGACTACCATCCTTATTGTTTAGCACCAAATGGGTGAAAATAATAAAGGTCATTCTTGCATGTTACCTTAAGAATAACAATAATATGCGATTTTGCGATTGTCTTATTAGCAACAAAATTCGTTATTACGTTAATAAAGCTCAAGCTGATCATTTTAGCACACGATACACCGAAAAAAATAATGTAGTTGAGTTAACATTTGCCTAAATGTCATTTTTAAAAATGTTGTTTCAACAAAAAACCTATTGGATTAATCTATATTTTGGTGTTAAAGCAAAAGTCAGAGTTTGTCAAAGTTTATTTGTTCATTTGACAGTTTAAATATTAATTTAACATAAACTAATATTTTGAATTAAAATGTTTATCGTACTTTGATTTAATAGCTCGAATTTGTTGAATCAACTACTGAAATTTTTAGGATTACCTAAAAAAACTATTAAATTAACGTTTAGTTGCTCTTTAATCCAAAACTTTAAATTTGTTCATTTAAAAAATTTAAAATGTTACTTTAAAATTTAAAATGTAAAATTTGCATTCATAAAATTGCCGAGAATGGCGCTTCGAACACTCACGCCACGTCATTAGACAATGACGTTTTCTTACATCTCGCCTTAGTTAGCTTACGATTAGGTGTATATAAGATGAGATATCTGTTTGTTTAAGGTGTGTTCCACAGTAGAACTTTCACTACACCATATTGCCCGACACTGTTAAGACCCTCAATACAGGGCGAAACAGTCTGTCGGTATTTGAAGTAGGTGGAACACATGATACAAAGATGTATCATGGGTGGAACACGCTCAAAACAAAAACTCTGCGCGAGGTGAAGGTTCAATTCTTTCTATTTATATATAATAATATATTATTTCCATAATTTTGTTTTGGATACCAACCTTTAAAGAATTTTACATTTTCAGAATGTTAATTTAACATTTTATTGGTGTTAAGTGAATATGCTAAAAAGGTTACCTGGACATTTCAAGAATGTTAAATTAACCAAATTAGCAGATTAGAACAAATATTCTTATTTTGTTCATTTGACTGTTATTTGTTGTTCAATTAAACAATACAATTTGACATTTTTAGATGGTTAAGTAAACGTGCAAAAACCATTGCTTGTATTTAAAGTGCATAACGAGTTGAATTAATATTTTTTTTGTTGTTTCAACAGCTTATTTTTTTCAGTGTACAAACGATTTTAGCATTTCATCGTAATTAAGAATAACATAGACGCTACACGACTTGTCTTATTGGTAGATTTTTTCAAAGAATTTGGAGGGTACATTTTATATCAAGTAACCGCCCTCACCCCCTTATCATTTGGGTGGGCATTGTCACCCGCCCCCCCGCGCTTCTACGCCCCTAAGTATCATAAACATTTTCTGAAAACAAACGTTTGTCGACACGATCGTGACATATCACTTTTAGAAATTCTACTACGTAGTAAGTACTAGGTGGCTAACTTTTTTTCTTTCAATTTCTCCCTCAACTTTCCTAGAATATAATGTAAAACAACTTCGGGCCAATGCGGATTTCCAATATTGGGTATATAATGTCAAACAACTTCGGGCCAATGTTGGGTTTCAATATTGGACCATGCTAAAAAAAATCTGACGAAAGATATTTTGGCCCAATATTATTACAAATATTGGGCCAATATCTTTGTGCTACTGGGGAATGTACGATCACCTTCGATAAGTTCATCATCATCATCATCAACATCAGTTTTTGTGTTATTGTTTTTTATTATTTTCCAAATTTTTTTGTATTATTTTTATATTTATTAATTTTATTTTCGTAATAAATTTGTTTCGATTGTTTGAATAGTTTGGTTAAAAAGTTTCTGTACCTTTTATAAATTACTTTTATTTAGTTTCTTTTCCTATTTCGCGGTTATTTTTAAATTTTTCTCAAATTTTATTCGAAAAAACGTGATTGTTAAAATTAAAAAAAAATCAAAAATTCCTAAAAACTATTTGAATCAATGTAGGTATTTATATTAATATTACTATTGTTTATACAAATATAATAATAGTTTTTAGGAAGTATCGGAAATTTTTAAAAATTTTAAATTTCGACACCTAAGTCTTTTGAATAATAATTTAGAATGACATATGTATATTACTATTATTAAAAATTTTAAATAATATTGGGATAATCTTATTTGTTTACCTAAAAGTATTTTGATAAACAAGGTAAAATTTCTCTTTTAAAATTAACTATTTTAATTTATTTTTTCAGGTAAAATATTATATTATATTAAATTTGCTAAAATTACCTCGCAATAAATGGAAAGTGTTGCCAACACTAATATTTTCCCCCATAGTAATGTCAAAATCCCCTAAACATCTTCTAAAATGTAGGTATAGGTATATACCTATATATATATATATATATAGATTCTGGAATTTCAAATAAATTAAAGTAATTCAAATAAAACCCTGATAAAAGCTGGTCAGCTGCTAAAATGGTGTGAAATACTCAACCCAGTGTCTCCAGCACTTTTTATCCCCTAAAAATGTTATGCCATTCTAAGTGCATTTTTTCATATAATTATATATAATATCCTAAACATTTTTTCCTAAAAAACCTCTAAACATTTTCCCCCTTGAAAAACCTCCTAGCAGTTTTTCTCCATAAATTTAGGGAAAAACCTATAAGTGAGTTTTAAACTGACAAACGGACAACAAAAGCTTATCGCGCGACAATTGTAGACAGTCAGCTGTCTGGCTGACAGTGTCAGCACAACTATTTGCCTAGCCTATTGCGATTTTCTT